AATCGAATGAATTAAACCTTTTAAGTTGCTTTTGAAGGGGGAGACTTGCTTGAGAAATAGCCATGGGAGGAAAGAAAATCCTTCGATTTGGGGACAAGAGCCCTTCGGGCTACTTGATTGTGGAGGGAAGGAGAAGGAAGGAGTATAGAGAATCGCTGGACGAACAACGGAATGGCGTCTTACTCGTCAACAGAAGGATTCGGCGGAAGGGATTGGGAGCATTGCGTGTTCTAGAGAGAAAAAAAGACACGGGTTTGCGGTGATGGTCTGTCTCGCGTGGCAATGGCGGCGTGGAGGTCGAAATCGCGCAAGGGTGAATTGAAAATTAGGGATTTAGTGGGTTTTGAGAATTTTTTACAAWGGGGAAAGGATTTTAGATATTACAAAATAATTTTTAAATTCCAAAAAAATGAATTTAAAAGATGTTTTTAGTTAATTTTAAATTTTTCCTCTAGTTTTTCTCTGTGTTTTGAAATTTATATACTTCAAAAAAAATTTCATTTTTTTCAAGATTTGTAATATATAAACATTCATTAAATCTTTTTGGATGGAAGGAAAAAAATCTATGAAAATTTTGGGTATTAAAATATATAGGTAAAATTAAAGAGTAAAAAAAAATTGCAATTACTTGGCCTTCAATAGTTAAATAATATTCTGARTGCAAAATTTCGAATAAATTTTAGTCTTTTAGACTTTTATGTTTTCTTAACTTAAATTCCAACAAATTAGCTTAAAATATCAATTCCTTTATTTTTTTCTCCAGTTTTCTAATTTACAAATTTCGACAAAAATTTGTATTTTATTTTTCTTAAGATTTGCAATATCAGATTGCAATCCATGGTATTGAAAATGTAAGCATTAATTAAATCGTTCTGGATTGATGAAAAAAACAATGAAAAACTTAAATAATATTCTGAGAGCAAAATTTTGAATAAATTTTTGGCTTCTAAACTTTTATGTTTTCTTAACTTACATTCCAACAAATTAGCTTAAAATAGTTAAATTCTTTATTCTTTTCTCCAGTTTTGTAATTTATAAATTTCAACAAAAAATTGCATTTTTATTTTTCTTAAGATTTGCAATATCAAATTGCAATCCATTGTATTGAAAATGTAAGCATTATTTAAATCTTTTTGGATTGATGAAAAAAAATCCATGGAAAACTGACTTTAACACGAAAAGCAACTTTTAGTGACCTTTTATCAGATGTCACTAAAATACAGTTTTCCAACTTATAGTGACATATAAACAACGTCACGTAAATCATACCTTTTCACGAATAAGATTGGAATCCTCTTATCGTATCGTGACGATTATAAACCGTCACGAAAAATAATATTCTGTGACGTTTTATACACGTCATGAAAAGCCGCCAATCTGAAGAACTCCGTCTTTTCCCGCCAAAAACGCGCCTTAATGTGTTTAGTTTATGTTATGTCACCTTTACATTATTTGCAATTGTTTTTTCTTTATTTTACATCAACCAACCATCTTTCTTCAAACCTCCCTTTCGTTTAAGCACTACTATGATAGCACTTCGATTATTATTTACAAGGAATATTTCCTATTATTACATTGTTTTGATTGCGTGCACTTGCACATAGTTTAGCCCGTATCAATTGTCTATAACAAGTGGTGTCAAAGCCATGCTAAACCTAGCTGAATGGGAAAAATCCTTGAAGGTTGAACAAGAGATTAATGAACCTTGTAGTCATTGTTGGGATTGGTGGAGTCAAAACGACGTCGGATCGAGCTAGGGATGAGTTGGGATCAAGCCGGGATGCGTCGGGGTCTAAGAGGGGATGAAAAACAAGGAAGCGGGGCGCTGCAGGCCACTCGGGTCGCCACGGCACTGTCCTGATGGGTGGCGAGGGCTAACTCTTCCGTCCGTAGCGCCATGGCATCAGGGACAACGCCATGGCGCTGTTTAGATGTTTATAAATATTGCTGTTCGGGTTTAGGGTTTTGCAACCAAAAAAGGGTTATTGTCCAGCCGATTTTGAGCCATTTTTCAGAAGGTTTCATGGCTGTTTCAAGGGAGAGGCTCGGGCATTGGCAGAGGCATTGAGGCTCATCAAGATCAACATATCGGGGTAATTATATCTTAATTATTGTGAGTTTTTCATTTCTATTCCTAAGTATTAATTGTGTAAAATACTTAGAAGCTATAGGGCTTTTGTTGGTACCTCTAGGGGATATTTTTGGGGAGTGTTATCGTATCCAATCCTCAACAATATTAGTGAATTACCCACATCTGAATGGAAGATTGGACGTAGCCCTTAATGGTGAACCAGTATAATTTGCTGTGTCGTTTACTTATGCTTTACTGTTTTTCTTCCTATTTGTATATTCTTGGTTGTATTTGATATTTTCTGTGGAATAAGAAATTATACATGAGCTGTAGGGTTGCAGCATCATGAGAGACAAATATTTCGCACACCATTTCAGTTTTTTGGAAGATGTAGGTAAAGGATCTTCTTACATTCAAGAAGAAACACAAAACTTTAGGGGAGAGACCAGCAGGGATGACAGACAAGGATTGGAATGAGATGGATGAGCAGGCCGTTGCGAATATCTGAATGTCGTTGTCAATGAATGTTTGTAGTTGGTGGCGAAAGAGACTATAACAAAAGAATTATTGAAGGTCTTGCAAGACAGGTATAAAAAACCTTCTGCCAATACAAAAATACTTCTACGGACGAAGTATTTTAATATCCACACGGAGGAGGGAACCTCGATGAATTCCCACATTAATGAGCTCACCGATATCTTGAACAAATTAGAAGTGATGGGTGTCAAGATTGAGGAAGAGGTGAAAGCTATGAGGCTGATGACGTCTTTGCCTGACAGTTGGGAGACGATGAAGACCACGGTGTCAAATTCGCTAGGGGAAAATAGCTTGAAATTTTTAGCTATTTGTGATGCCGCCTTATCTGAAGAAGCCCAGAGAAAATTAGAGAAAAAGTCTACATCTACTTCAGGGGCAGAAAACGGGGTTGAATAAGCTTTGGTAGCCCAGAACAAAGGGAAGGCAAAGATGAGTTACAATGGGAAGCAGAAGTAGAGATACAGCAAGGGTAGTGGGAGTTCCAATTGGGAAGTGGAATGTTATTACTGTCACAAGAAGGGACACGTGAACCGTTTTTGTAGAAAGTTCAAAGAAGATTTTGAGAAGGGGAACAATTCTGCAAATGTCGTAAGAGAAGAAGAACGGATTAAAGAGTTTCTGGCTTGTGTTCAGAGCAACGTATTTGTAGACCAGTGGGGTAGTAGACACTTCAGCATCAACGCACGTTGCTTCAGACAGATGTTGGTTCTCATCTCTTACTGTAGGTGATTATGACTTAGTGAAGATGGGGAATGGGAGTATCTCCAAGGTGAGAGGAATTGGAGATGTTGGTTTGAAGACAGGCGAAGGGGTCGAGTTGGTGCTACGAGGCGTCAGGTATATTCCTAGCTTCAGATTTAATTTGTTATCCGTAGGGAAGCTAGAGACAATGGCTATAGCAGTTAGTTTAGTAGGGGTTGCTGGAAGCTCAAGAGGGAATCTAAGGTGGTGGCAACAGGCCACAAGAGATCTTCTATTTATGTGTCAAAGTTTGGGGTTGTCAAGGGTTCACTGAGACAGACAATGCACAGAGTAGCTACAGATAGTTCAGGACGAGACCTTAAAGGACCAACAACATTGATGGCCAGAACAGATCAGAAAAACTTGCCATCAGCTCACGTTAAACAGTTGAGAAGTACAGAAAAGGGAAACGAGAATTTGATAGGCCATCAAGTTCATACCTCAGCTGTCAGACGTTCAGGAGAGCTGGTGAAGTCGCATAGGCGAATTAGTGCATTTAAAGGTACGGGTTTTGTTTCTAGTGTGGTGACAGACTTGGGTGGAAGTGCCAAGTCATCAGGGGAATCTTCCTTTAAAGGTCGTTGGGTTCAATCGAGAAAGGAAGCAACGGGGACCACTTAGATCAAGTGGGAGTATGTGGCTATGTCTCTAAGTTTGGGGGACGATACCACGTAGACCTGTCCAGTCTCAGGGCAGAGTCAGACAATACTTGGGTAGGGCCAAGCAGTGTGGATCAGTTCATTGATAGATTAGTCAGAACTGTGCCTTGACAGAGGGTGTCAAGAAGTTGATGGGACACTATCGTTGTAATGGGAAGCAGAGAATTGTCGCTTTGTCTCAAAGTGGGAGATTGTTGGGATTGGTGGAGTCAAAATGATGTCGGATCAAGCTAGGGATGAGTCGGGATCGAGCCGGGACGCGTCGAGGTCGAAGCGAGGATGAAAGACAGGGGAGCGGGGCGCTGCAGGCCACTCAGGTCGAGAAGACAGCCCTGCGGCGCCGCTACAAGGTGCCACGGTGCTATCCTGATGGGTGGTGCGGGCGGACTCTTCCGTCCATAGCGCCATGGCGTTGGGGACAGCGTCATGGCGCTATCTCGATGTTTATAAATACTGTTGTTCGGGATTATGGTTTTGAAGCTGAAAAAGGGTTATTATCCAGCCGATTTTAAGTCGTTTTTAGGAGGGTTTCGTGGCAGTTTCAAGGGAGAGGCTCGGGCATTGGCAGAAGCATTGAGGCTCATCAAGATCAACATATCGGGGTAATTATATCTTAATTATTGTGAGTTTTTCATTTCTATTCCTAAGTATTAATTGTGTAAAATACTTAGAAGCTATAGGGCTTTTGTTGGTACCTCTAGGGGATATTTTTGGGAGTGTTATCGTATCCAATCCTCAACAATATTAGTGAATTACCCACATCTGAATGGAAGACTGGACGTAGACCTTAATGGTGAACGAGTATAATTTGTTGTGTCGTTTACTTGTGCTTTATTGTTTTTCTTCCTATTTACATATTCTTGGTTGTGTTGGATATTTTCTGTGGAAAGAAAAATTATACAGGACCGTTAATTTCCCAACAGTCATCACGGAAGGATAAACCTCCAAACTGGACAAAAGTACTCATGGGAGTAGATGGATGAATGACTATTCGATGTAGGTTACAAGTGACATTTTGTTTTTGGGGCCGAGAGCATTGTTAGAGTGGTAACGAGTACAAACAAAGTCTCTCACATTGGTTAGGAAAAGAGAAGATCCATTTTATATACCTAATGAAACATCTATATTGGCATGAGGTCTTTCGATGAAATCAAAAGCAAAGCAATTATGAGAAACTTATGGCTAAAGTAAATAATATCATACCATTGTAGAGATATTCTGGGATACCATTATTCATATTAAAAGAACTCGGTTAAAATATATTTTAATCATTATATTTCGTAGTTTGTGATGTCTTTGTATCCATCTATTTTAAATGAGCTATCTCGCCGTTAAAAATTTTGTTACAATTAAATATTTGGCATTGAAACATGAAGATAGTAATTATGAATCAAATTGTTTGGACCGAGGAACATAATACCTCGGAAAACATGAAAAAGATACAAATATATAATAATATGTTAGTTAAGGAAATCATTTCCCATTGTTAATATGTTTGCAAATGGTAGTAAAAATTGATTGTTAGTTTTCTAAAATAACTGTCACTTTATTTATTAATATGAATCTATATGGATAACAACTATTTTTCTTTTGTTTCAAAAAGAAAAACAACTATTTTATTTTTTCTTACTTCTTTTAAGTTGATCTAATTTTCAAAAATAGGTTCTTTAACTTTAGAAGAAGTAAAAGTTCTAGAAACACGGTTCTACACCAAACTATTCCATAGAACAACATCATCCTATGTTAATTTTGTGAAGAGGGTCTTGAATCTTGATGGCTTTTATTCGTGTAAATCTTATTTTAATAATTGAACTTTTCATGTTTTGAAAGTGACGTAGAATGAGTGCTTTTGAAAAAAAAAATCTAAGTATAATTGATTTTTCAAAATCATCCTCTCGATATCTTAAAAATCAATTTAAAGTGATTTTATATTTTTTTAATTAATTTTTTAATTTGTCAAACATAATCAATGAAAAGTGAAGTAACTCTTGACAATAACAAAAGTGTCAAAATCATTCCCAACACGCTTAGTCTTTTATATTTGAAAATATTTGTTGGATAAGCATTTCGTTTTTAGTTTTCCTTTTTTAAAAATGATTTAAATATTTTTTGGTCTCTCTATTTTTTAGCTTTGGTTTATTTTGATATATGTACTTTAGAAACACCCATTATGATTTCTATACTTTCAAGTTTATTTCATTTTAGTCCCTATCCTTTCGAAACGTTCATTTTTGTCCCCGTACTTTAAAAAAGTGATCATTTTTGTCCATTTATTTCTCATTTTCTATTTCATTTTCCGATCAAAATTTTAGCATGACACTTCATTATACTCACTAAATTATTTGGTAGCCATAAATTTGCATTAAAGGGTTTTCCTTGTATATAAAATTTGTACTAATTTTGTAAATATGGAAAAAAAAAAGTCACTTTGTAGAAGTATACAAGGACAAAAACAAAAGTCTTAAAAATAATGAGTCTAAAATGGGGACAATTTGAAAATGCAGAGAAGTCGAAATTACAGATAATTTAAATCTTAAAAAATTAAGCGGAAAATATCTTCCATGTAGTTCTTTGTTTTATCTCATATATATTTTTAAAAGCTTTCAAAACCTAAGTAAAATTTTTTAAAACTAAAAATCAAGTCTTAAAAAAATTATTTTATGAATTTTGACTAATTTAAATGTGTTTTCGAGGAAGGTGACAAATAAAAAAGAAAGAATAAAATAAAATAAATAATAATAATGATGATGAAATAAATGGTGAAGAATCAAACATAATTTTTTTAAAATATAAAATTAAGGGAAATTGTATTGGATAACTAAACTTTTATACCTATTTACAAAGATGTCAACCACTTTTTTATTTTGCAAATATGGCAAAATATTTGAATTTTTATTCTCGAAATTTTTATTATTCCAATTTTACCCCTATGATATCTGATATATACCTGATTTATATCTGATATACGTCAGATTGATGTATATCTGATATACGCCCGATAAATTTATATCTGATATACGTCCAATGTATCTCTGGTATACTTCTGATCTACGTCTGATGTACACTCGATGTATCTCTGATGTACATCAGATGTACATATTATACATCTAATATACATCTGATGTATCTCTAATTTATGATATACCTATGTATATCTTATCTGATATATATCCGATGTATCTCTGATGTACATTTGATGTATATCAGTGATAATATTAAATATATTTGTAACTAATATATGATATACATGAGTAGATCACAGATGCATCAATGTTAGATATCGGTAGATATCATGGTTATATCAATGGTACATTAGAGACATATTAAGTATATATCATAGATGCATCAAAGTTATATTAGTGATAAATCATATAATCATATGAGAAGTTATATTAGTAGATATCACAGTTATATTAGTGGTAAATTAAAGACATATCAAATATATATCACATGTATATAAGTGTTATATCAGCATGGTAAATCAATGGTAGATTATATAACCATATAAGAACCTATATCAGTACAAATCATAGTTATATCATACGTATATCAGTGACAAACCATATTAGAAATTATATTGGTAGATATCATAAATATATCAGAAGTAAATCAATTTTATATCAGTATTATATCAGTGGTATATTAAAGACATATCGATAATATATTACACATATATTAATGGTAAATCAATAAATAGTAAATAATATAATCATATAAGAAGTTATATGAGTAGATATCATAGTTATATCAATGATATATCAGTTGTATATCAGTAGTAAATCATATGTATATCAAGTATATATTAGATATATATGAGTGCTATATCAATGGTACATCAATGTTACGAGGGTTGATTTGACATTTTATTATTGGACATCCGTTTTTTCTAAAAGTTTTGCTATATTTGCAAATTTAAAAGGTAGATGCTAAATATGTTATTTCTTTAAATTTTTTTGTTATATTTGTAACTGCCCCTACAATTAAAAACAAAATCATTATAAAAAACCTAAATATATATATATATATATATATATATATATATATATATATATATATCTTTAGTTTCTAAGCTACTTTACATAAAAATCAACTTTGATAATGCTTACTAACAGTCTTAATATCCTACGAGTTATCTTGTCAACCAAATGTAGTAGGGTCAGGCGGTTGACCCGTGATTAGTCGAGGTGCGAGCAAGCTGGTCCGGGCACACGGATTCAAAAAAAAAATGCTTACTAACAGTTAAAATTTTCATACTCATTTAACAAAAAATTCGCACGGAACATTCACTTATCAAATTAAAAATAGTTAGATAACTTAAATTTCCATTAAATATATTATAAAAATACACCAAAATAAGTGATTTTGACGATTTAAAGAAGAATACAATACTTCAAAATTAGTATAAGAGAAGAAAATGGAATAAGAAGTAAAAGTTCACGATCCAAAATAAGAAATAAACCTATAATACACACATATTTATATGTATGTATGTATATACAAAATACAATAAGCCTGACAAAAGGTTCGGTTTGAATCGGGTGCGTGTATTGGAGTCTCTACTCTCTTTATCCACGTTACAATAATTTTTACTTCATAAATAATTTTTAAATATGGTTAGACTCCACATCATTCTTAAATAATGTTGAGGTAACAAATAGTTACAGTATCGAAACTATTTTTCAGACAAGAGAATAGTAAAATGAAAAAAAAATGAAGGGTAAAGGTTTGAAAGCGAGAAAAACACTCGCAGATGGTGGCGTAGTGGGCTTGTGGTCGAATGGACGAAATACCCTCCCCAATCCAAATCTAGCGGGGCACGTAGCTGGGATTCCCCAATTCGAGTACGAGCCTCGCAATGTCGTTTACGTTAATAGGTGGCCCTCGATACTTTACACTCCCTAATTATAGAGAACCTCTAATGTAAGT